AATAAAGTATAAAGAGTCCTCTTTGCTTGAATTTTGTCGAAGTACCCAACGTTTTGGATGGATTGAAGCATAGCGAGCACTAGTTGAACCACGTATTGCTATTCCCTATCAATTCGTTTATTTTCTATATGAATTATTTAGGGCTATAGCAAAATCGTCATCAGCATATTCTGTAAAATGAACATCTATCTGCCTGACTACTACCAAACTGATTAACATATAAAAGGAAAACGGTTGGTCCAAGAATAGAACCCTGGGGTACTTCAATGGAAATGTCTAACGTACCTGACACAAAGTTTCTCATATTGTTCTCTGCATCAAGATGTAGAACAGAAACATTTTGATTTCTTTGGACCAAGAACGATCGGACCCATTCAAGAGACTGACTAACAAAGCCACATTTTCTAAAAATTTACAAGAACTTGTTTTGGCAGTCGAATGCCCAACTAATATCACAAAATACTCCAGTAGGGCACTCGCCCGCATCGACGTCTTCTATAAGCTACTCATAGGAGGAATGTAGCGCTGACATTGTGGTCTTACCATTTATGAAACCATGCTGGTTTTAAGACATGTTGTTCTTACGATGTAGAACAAGTCTATTCATAAAGCCATATTCAAACACTGTGCTAATATCTCGACGCACTAACACATCTAGCTGCCGCCCCTCTAAATCAAAGTTAATTCAGGGGTTCAAATTTAAGTTAGAACTAGGCCTCTAGTATATTTTTAAACCCCTATTGCTCTATGAAAAAATGAAAGAGTATAAAATGACTTAATATTTCTAAAAAATTAGGAATCTTTCTGGTGTGCTTTGTGGGACGCGTTACCTTTGTTTCTACATTCGTTTACCTACTTTGCACCGGACTATAAATATGGACATTATTATTCAAGTAGCCACATTTTTTGTTTCCATCATCTTTATGGTATAATGGACTTATTCAATAGGTTGCGTATATGATATATTATGCTTATGGTATGGTGAGAGTATAATCTGGTTCATTAGGGAATACCACGTATTCGATCACCGTTCGATTGTCACAGACCATTAGCAAAACGCAAGGGGCCGCTGAATAGTACATGCCTCTAGGCTCATAAGAAAATACAACGTATGTAGCAACAGGCCTCGTACACGATAACAGGAGCATAATTATGCTTGTGAATCAGTGCCGTCCATGTGAATTCTATGGGTCGGGGGAAATGGGGAGAAAGTGATAATGACAAAGTTACTATCAATCGGATTACATTGCAGCAATCAGAAGATGCAATGTTGACTTTAGTACATAAGGGAGGGCAGTAACTTGCCCAGGCGCAAAGTTTAACAGTTTTTGTACATCCAACCAAGTGTATTTGGCATGATTTTGATGCATAGAATATCAACGTTCGTATGTTATTTTTTTGCTTTTGAAATAATGCATCTTCTATTTAGTAATTGCTGCCATCTACTGTCAATTGTTTCAAGCATTGAAATATAATTGGTTACTTTGTTTTTAATTTCATCAAGAAATGCATTAAGAATTATTTCGTCCTTCAATATAATTGTGGTCTATTTCAGGCAGTAAAGAGGACCCTTTTCAATATACTAGACGTTAAAAATCATTTTTTGAAGAAAACAAATAATTATCGGTTTTTGTCGAAACAAAAAACGTTTCATCAATCATCGTAAGAGTTCGATAAATGCGTGTCCTAATATTTATATGAAATTTTCGTGTTATCTTCATATATTTTGACCTATCAGAGTGACCTTTCGCTCAATGCTGCATGTCCAATTTTTTCAACAGTTTGCCTGGAGAAGTATCCTTGTTACTTTTCGTTTGATTCATGTTGTGGATACAGATGAAAAACAATGTAATTAGTTAGTCAAACATGCATTTTATTGTGTATTTATATGTTCCGTTACGTAATATAATTTTTTTTTCAAGAGCTATCACATTCATCATGTATCAAACATTGTTGGCAATTAGCTTTGCACCAGGGTTCCAAAGAGATGAGGCTTCCGTGTACGGATACGCTCATTGCTGCAATCTGGGGAAACTTTTTTCATGAAAACCCCAATTGTGAATTACTGGTTCTGACAAACACGACGTCTTTTGGAGGTTATTAAACGACATGGAAAATTATTTCAGAAGTGTTTTCGAAGGCGTGGAAAGTACTCAGTCAATCTACTTGACGCGATTTTTTATTTTAGTTCCATCAACACAATGGACTTCTCTCGAAAGGTGCATACATCAGATTTCCTAGCAGAATGCCCTTCGTAACATATGATCGCCCTTAATCCCACATACAAAAAATGGGTTTCTACGCACTCCCTACACACAATAGCCTCATCCGAGTGGTGACTGTCATACAGAGACCTTCCATTAAGGCGCATTTACAAAGTGCCCTCGGGATCACCTTTGCTGACATTGTCCTTTGTACAGCAGTTTTGTTGTTGTTTGTTGGACTGACAGGTTGATACTGCGCCAGGAATTCCTTTATATATCGTCTATGGTAGTTCCCGAACAGTAGGAGGGTTGAGCCTGTATCTCTTTATTATATCTGCGGTCGTCACAGGTCTTGATAAGGCCCTCATCACACGTGTCGTCTGATTTAATACGACAGTTCCATAGTTGAGTCACAGTTGTTGGAAAACTAAGATGAAGCTTCTGTCCACTGGGGGGTGCTAATGACATATACCTAGTCTATGGTCTGAAGTTAATCTCTCTCTAATATACCTAACTGCTGAAATAGTAATCAACAAATATTCAACTACTTATTTAGAGTCATTTCCATCACCATTATCTCAAATATAAGACATAAGGACAGACTAAGGAAAAACATCAACCATCTCCACCAGAAATTTAAACCTCTTTGTGCTGAGATTAAGAATCAAATCGCAGTTGCATATGCAGCTTATATTCAGGATGCTGAGCATAAAATTCGTCAATATCCTACTAAGTCATGGTCATTCGGTAATGCTAGAAGGAAAAAAATCAGAATCAGAAATGATGACTTTCAAGGACAGTCAATATAGCTCACCTAGGGAGATAGTTGATACTTCTTTTTGTTTTCACAAAATCGGATGCACTTAACCACGAATCATTAAATCCCGCTAGTACAACTGCATTGAACAGAAGTAAAGGTGATATTATTCACGCTTCTAGAAAACTAAGAACTAAAGTGTCGTCGGGAAACGATGGTGTTCCTTGTTTTATAGTAAGAGATTCTATTTGTATTTTTTCCAAACCTCTGTGCGATTTTCAACCTAATGTTACCAGCCCAATTTTATCAGAAACGGTGATAAATAACAATACTTTGTAACTTGAGCACGATTATTGAGATCCTAATATCCTGTATGGGTGAGGGAACCTATTCTGACAATCAGAACGGGGTTACGTCTGGGAAGTCAGTAGTCACAAACTTGATTTGCTCAGCGCAAAATATTTTTGGAGCTTTGGATGATCAAAATCAATTGCAAGTCATCCAAAAGGCCTTTGATCAAATAGATCACTACTTCTTACTAGACAGGATCGAATCTTGACTGGTTCTCATAAAGTCATATATCCTGGAAAGGAGCATGTATGTGGAATATGGTGGCTATCAGTCTAGAATTTTTACGGCAACATCTAATGTACCTCAGGTGTCCAATTTAGGACATTTGTTGTTCATAATCTGCATCAATAGTTTATCGCTACCTCAGCCATGCCATGCATCTATTTTATGCTGATGGTTTAGAAATTTATGCTGTGTCTAATAATCTCGATGACTTCATCCTTTTAACACTGCTGAGTGAACTTATTAACAAAAAATTGGAGCACTTACACATCTGTCCAAATTTTGACTCTTCACAACCATAAATGGAATCTGTTTTTTTTTGTCTATTCCACCAAAAAATTCCATTCCATTCAAATTTTAATAATTGTTTTCTCATAATTAAATAATAACTGTTAATTCAATTGCTCATTTCATAATAATATAGTTAATTCAACTGTCTCTGGTCGGGTTGACAAGTTCTTACCCAACATATCTTGATAATCACACCACCTGAAGTGATTTGGCAACGTAGCACACGCCTTACAAAAGAATTTTCGTTCCATCATTGTACACGGACACTGCTAACATTCGGCTATCTGTTAAAAGGTTCAGCTTACTCATGATTCTATGCCCACCATTTTGTGCAATCATCAAGTGGCTTCACGATGTAATGCTTAACTTTGGTTTTAAATATTTTTGATCTATTTTTAATTGGTTCTTGTCATACAGCTGTGTGTAGTTTGTATAGTTTTGGCCATTGTACCAGGTATCCAGCATTCACCATGTTACTGGGTGTTTCCCTCACCCTTAACGTAAATAACATTTAGCAACATCCTCACATACTACTGTGAGTTAATTTAAATTCATTTTACACAATTGTTGCTACTTTTATCAATGTAATTGCAGCTCCTGATGATGATGGCAAAGGCCATTGAAAGCTAGAGAGATTAAAAAAGTATCAAGAGTCCTCCTTGCTTAAATTTTGTCGAAGTACTCATCAAAAGGCGGAAGCTTTAATTTTCACCTATATATATATATATATATATATATATATATATATATGTGTGTGTGTGTGTTTCTCTTTGTTTTTTGTTCGGATGTTAAATTATTGATTTGTTTTCGTTGTTGGCATGTATTCTGTAGTTGTATGTAACTTCTTGGGAATTATAATAAAATAAAGAAATCACAGTAAATCTCGGAAACACGTTCCGAAGCATATACCCTTAATTTTTGGCTGCAACGCGCACCCGGAATTTTCGTGGGATCAAAGTTTTGGAAATATTGAAGTAATCGTACCGAGAACATCTTATCTAACATGTACCGGACGTTGTTGCAGCCTGCAAAATGTCATGTGTTTCTATTTGACCCAGTTATAACATATGTTTCTCAACATTTGCCTAGTACTCTCATTTTGGAAACGTACCTTTATCTCAATATCAGGAATCGTAGAAAGAAAAGCTTTCCACTCTTATGTACGGTGTGACACAACTAAGCATGTAAGCAGAATATTTCTTAACTTTTTGGTGATCTTATTACTGATTCAAAATACATCGACATTTTGTTCTATTTTAGAATATACATCCAAAAATGACATACAATGTTCCTATAAACACGTCGCCAAACTTCCAAGTGAGGAATACGACATTATGAGCAATACGCAAAAAATCTTCTAAGCTCAAAACTAAACTACCAGCCTCTACAACAGTGAAATAGAAGTATTTCAACATCACTGACTTCATCAGAATAGTCGCATTTTGAATAGAATGATTAATTTCGCATGTTGAGTCTGGAAAAACTGCCTTAAGTTAATGCGGCAAGATCAAGAAATACCTCCACGTTTCCTGAATGTGACGTGTCCGAGTCATATGATGGTTGTATACAAAAATAAGACGGAAGGTTCTAATAAATATGGGTGCAAGAATGGCATCTTGTCATGATGCAGGGTGTCGAAGTTTTTATTTCAAAATCAGAAATCTTCGATATTGACTTGAAATTTTGTATGTGCAGTATCAACAGCATAGCCAATACATAGAAATATGTTCGTTCCTAAAAATAAATTTCACCCCCAACAAAAAAAGAAACGGAAATTATTTTCTGTACGACTGTCTTAGAGCAAATGATGTATTCTTTAATAAGTACTTCAATTTCACATGGATCACCTCTTATGAGCAATGTTTGCTAGACTTTTCCTTTTGAAGAAAATCGACTTGAATATTTGAGGTAAGATCCCTGCTCTTCGTTAAAAATATGCTGAAGTTAGTGAAGTTTGACAGAGAAAACTGTACTCTAGAAATATTGCCAGTTTTTCTCCTTCTGTGTACAGGGTGATTCACAAGTCGTAACCAAAAATGAAAAATCATACACAGGACCGCCATGACCGCATTTTAAGGGGTGTCTTCTATGTAACATTTTTTGGATTTACCTGAGTATTGCCTGTCCACATTCAAAAGTCTTTACTTAAAATTAACGTACACCAGTGGCGGAGATAGAGGGGATTAGTGGCATTATTTATTCAAATAAAAAGTACGTAACAGTTTTTTGAAAACGCACAATTTTTCGAATTTTACTTTCAATTTGCTACAAATCATTACTCTTGTGTTTTTTCCTAAAGTGCATTGTATTCGTAAAAAAAAACAAGTTAGATAATCAAAGCTTTATTTCAATAAAAATGTTCAAAAATACCACCATTATGATGGATACAATACATCTTTTTGATTGAAAAAACGTATTTCGGAAAAATTTGTCTAAAATTATTATATAAGCATGCGGTTATATCACGACGAACATGCGGTGGGGCAACGTCGTGTTGATAACACATTCGTACTCTCGTTGCTAACGGAACATCATCTAACACATTTTCTATGTAATTCTCTAGAAAAGATATGTGTGAGTGTGCATATAATGTTGTGGCAATACTTGCATAAGCAGTTGGAAATTGAAAATGCCGCATTAGACATTTCTAGCTCCCCGCAAAAAACGATACATCTGTCCAGAAAATCAAATCAAAAAAATCTGCATTTTGACTATGCATTTGCATTAACCTCTGACAAAAATGTCTCCCTTTGCCATTTTGCTGATGGTGAGGATGTGAGTCTTCCCGATTCAAAATTATCCACGCAAGACCTTGGGCACATGGTAACTGGGCTGCAATCCGCCTAGTACTTGTACTAGGATCACCCAACGCCAAATTAATCACTTCCAGTTCCTCTTGGACACTATGCCGGACACCATGGTCTCTACCTCCGGGCAGCTTGGCAATTCCAGATTGCCGAAGCCTTAGAAATGAACGCGTAAAAACCTTTGTAGTAGCTTGGTGTTTGTTAAGAAATCCATGTTAATATTCCCGAGAAGTCACTAGAGCATTTCCATTACAGAACCCGTACACAAAAGTAATATCGGCGTAGGGGAGACCGGGGCTGGTTGTCACATGGGTTGGTTGTCACAATTGTTAAATCTCAGCAGCTCAGCATGTAGTTGCCTGGCGCGCTATACATCGTTTCTGCGTCCGCGCAGAACACTTGTATTCAGTACGAAAGTTGTCGCTGGTAGATTAAGGTCGCACATACATAAATAAACAAATCGCCTAACCTGAGTAAATTTTTCGTTTGCCACATAATTTGTGTTTTCAAGACTACATTTGATAATAAAAAGAACTGTTGAATTTATTTTGCTCTTCAATAATCCGAATACGACTTAACGTAAGTATTGACTTTGAAATTGTTAATTTAGTGACGCTATCTAACTTTAAAAATTAATAATCTAGTGGGGCAGGTTGTCTTAAATTAGCTGGGGCCTCTTGTCACATGGGACAACCAGCCCCCATACTAGACGATTAGCTTTGCACATCATTCTACGTAGGTGTATGTATATAATGTATCTTTTTAATATATTCAGGTTACATAAGCATGGTTCGAAATTTCAAAAGGAAGACTGAGAAGGGCAAAGCGCCGCCTGTCGTACTTTTAAGAGCTGCTAGATTAGTGAGATTAGGATCCTCAATACTTTAGCAAGATACTGTAAGAAAATTCCAGAGTCTGAATTACTTGATGATCGAGTTCTTGCGCCGTCAATTTCAGTTGGCTACATCAAAAATCATTTAGTATTTGCGCCTGAACTTGAAAATCATCTAGTGGAATATGTACTCAAAGCATCTGATATTTATTTTGGATTATCACCCAAGAAAGTACGAGGACTGGCATATGAATTTGCTAATGCTAATTCCTTGAAAATGCCTAAATTGGAGCTCCATAAAATAGCTGGTCCTGACTGATTTAGTACATTTCTAATACGTCATCCAGTACTGTCTGTTCGCAAACCGGAAGCAACTAGTTTAGCAAGAGCGAGTAGTTTCAATAAAACGAACGTCAACGCATTTTTTGATAATTTAGCTTCAGTTATGGAAAAACAAAAATTTGAGCCTCACGAAATCTGGAACATGGACGACACTGGGATTACAACTGTCCACAGACCCGACAGCGTTGTTGCCAGAAGAGGATTCAAACAGGTTGGTTCGATAGTTTCATCAGAAAGGGGAACTCTTCTTACTTTAGCAAGTGCAGTATCAGCTATTGGAAATTCCATACCTCCTTTTTTCATTTTTCCACGGGTACATTTCAAACCACAATTTTTGAATTCGGCTCCTCCTGGCTCACAAGGTTCTGCAAACCGATCAGGTTGGATGAAAGAGTCACATTTCTTGGAGTTTCTTAGATATTTCACCTTCATGTGAAACGTACTGTGGAAAGACCGTGCCTGCTCTTACTAGATAACCATGGATCACATCTGAGTATAGAAGGACTGAATTTTGCCAAAGCAACGCGTCTTCGGCCTTTTTACGACATATGTAAATACTTCCTGCGATGCTTGGGTTTTAAATAATCCCGGTAAGACCATGACTATATCCGATATACCTTCAGTGATCTCTATTGCATACCCCCCCGCATTTACTCCCAAAAATATACAGTCTGGATTTCGGGTGTCGGGTGTGTTTCCTTACAACAGAGATATTTTCACGGATGATGACTTTCTTGCGAGCTCTGTCACTGATAGGCCAGATCCGGGTATCTTGAACGAAGCAATAACTGGATCAAACCCGGAAACCTTAAACGAAAAGGAAGCTGGGCCAAATCCAACCATCTTGAACGAAGATGAAACTGTAAGGCTGATAAATATTAACACGCAGTAGTTTAGTAAGGCTGCATACGAGAAATATGGTACTTCCAGAAAGTTTAAGACCTTATCCAAAGGCATCGTCAAGAAAAATGAATCGAGTTTCCCGTCGTAAGCGAGGGTGTGGAATACTCACTGACACTCCAGTAAAAGACGAATTAGAGAAAGAGAAAAATAAATGCTGGAACAAGAAAAAGAGGAACAGAGAAACAGTGAAAAGAGACGTTTTTGATTCAGAAAAAAAATTTAGAAATCTAAAAAATTGAAAAACGCCCGAATGTTTTTGCTTGCTTTGTCTTGAACCATTTTCTAACAGCGCGCCAAATGAAGAATGGGTGAAATGCTCATCGTGTAATGGTTGGTCTCATGATGCGTGGACTGATGGACGCGAACTTTACATATGTCATAACTCCGATAGTGACTAATTGTAAAAAAACTCTTCTACTTTTTTCTCATAAAGATTTGGTGTTTAATAAGCATTTTTTGTAATAATAAAGATGTTTAAAAGTATGAAATCATAATTTATTAGTGATCTAAAATACACGTGACAACCAACCCCAAGCAATGTGACATCCAGTCCCAGCAAGGGGCAAGTTGTCACATTTGTTTCTGTATTTTGAAACATTTTAATTTATTATTGTGAATTATTTTACAGCCTTATCGATTTTACATAGTGTTCCCAAAGGATAAACCATATTAGTTATGCACCAAATATGTGCGTATAACGCTTCAGATCGACTAAAAAAAAATAATTACTGAAAATTGTGACAACTAGCCCCGGTCTTCCTTACTCATCAATGCTAAATTCCATTTCACAACACTCATAGATTAAAAAAAGAAACTTTTGACACGTTTCGGGAAAAACATTAGCGTACTATTTTTATTTGGAGAAATAATGCCACAAATCCCCTGTATGTCCGCTACTGGTGTACGTTAATTTTAAGTAAAGACTCAGGTAGATCTACATACCATACTTTAGTTCATTCCAGTTAACGATTTTAAAGATTATGAAAGAAAATTGTTTTTTATTTTTATACTTCAACACACCATGTATTTATTTTTATTCGATATTTTACACTGTTTTACATATTCTGGACTTGAAAACATCCCGATATTATGAATTCCCTTCTCTCAATATCACGACCTGGGGAACATTAAAAATTGATGCAAACATGCGAGTAAAGCGTACGCAAGAGTTCAACCCAAAACTGTTGTAATATTTATTTAAGGAATCACCCTATAAAAGCCTACTTTTCACTCAAGGCTAATTTTTCCCACAGGGGTTATAACTTAAGGTACATACTGCTTTTTCGAGGCAATTCAGCTTGATATGCGGCACCACCTTACTTGTATTATTAATTTGGTTTGGCGATCCTAAGGAGGGGAGGATTTTTGAAAGCGCTCTAAGAGCAGAGGTAGCTTCATGGATTGGTTGCGAATATACGAGTACGTATAGTAAATCGATATTAACTGCATCATTTGTGCAGTCCGCCCTCCTACGAAGAAGATTCTATAGTCAGAATAATTATATTCCAAGCTAGGTCCTGTTTTGACTCTAAAAGGCTTTGCTAGTTAGGGATTTCCTAGCACCACAGTTAGGTGAGTAGCCTTGCATTTCCCAAAGTTGATTCGATGGAAAACAACGCGAAAACCTCGCTGCAACCTTATCGACTTTCTTCAAGCAGACCTCGAGAGTATTCAACACTGGCCGGCACATCCTTATTTGAAGTTCCACAGTTTCATAATACAAAATGGGAGTAGCACAAGCGTCAATTACCTCGCACCTTCACATTAACGTCGACATTTAATTTGCATCCAATTATGGGGTCCAACAACGCAAGTGCTGCTTTAGCTTTACGTAGGCGAGCGTTGATGTGAGATCTTGCCGACAGCCTCTTGTTAACCTTAACTCAAAGGTATCTTATTTCTTCACGTACTGACACTCACCTTATTACCGATTTTAATTACAATTACATGATCAAACGACCTTACCTGTAAGTGATGTTCGATCTCAATTATGTGAAGGCCTCGTCGAAGTAAATATACAGGTGTACCCCGTTTCCAGGCCAAACCCACCAGTTCAAAGCGCGCACGCGGCTCACCGCTCTCCCAACTTCGTCCTCTTTGGACCCTGGTCTACAAACTCATATTAGCTTTCTTCGCGGAGCGAATCCCAGACGCCTTCATCTTATCATCGCATGCGCACTAAAAAAAAGACCGTACGCGGTTAGAAAATTCGTTACTCGGGATTAAAAATTCGTTGTTCGTGGTACAAATGTCTTAAGTTCTGAACGCGCTCGTAATGTGTTCGACAGATCCGGTGATGGAGGGATTTAAAATTCAGAACAGATCCTAACCTATAATTCTGTGTCTTTGTGATATAAACAAACATTTATCTTAAATCTGCTTTCAAGATGATGCCAATGATGCATTTAAGTTCAAGTGACGAAGATTTGGAAGAATTGAACGAATTGTTTGAAGTTCCAAAAAATGAGAAGTTTTTTGAGGAAACTGTGCCCCAATTCAACGATCAACAGTTTTTGGGGCATTTTAGGATAAGCAGGGAAGTAGCAACTAAATTATCCAACAGATATGAAGCTTCGCAATATTATCACTACCAAAAAGGTGACTCTGAAAAAATCAGCCCTTTTAAAACAGTTGTGGCCTTCTTATGGTATGCAAGCAATGAAGCTGCAAGCTTAAGGGATGTATCTGACCGGTTTGGGATTACGATTAACTCTCTTCATGAAATTGTAAAGAGATTTACGTATTTTTTATTCAATTTGTCTGCGGAATTTATAAAATGGCCAACTAACGGGGAGAAAATTGAAATTGAGAGCCACTTTAGGCAAGACGAATTTCCTGGCATTATTGGCGTTATTGGCGGTACACACATTGAAATTGACAAGCCATAGGATGATCCAGATTCATACCTTAACAGGAAGCACTTTTTGAATTTTGATTGAAATTGAGAGCCACTTTAGGCAAGACGAATTTCCTGGCATTATTGGCGTTATTGGCGGTGCACACATTGAAATTGACAAGCCATAGGATGATCCAGATTCATACCTTAACAGGAAGCACTTTTTTTCGATCCGGGTAAGAAAGCAAAATTTTAGATTTCAATTTAAATGTTATTCAAGTATGATAATATCTTAAATGTTTATATAATATATTTTATTTTTTACAGGCACAAGTTGTTTGCGATCATAAAAGGAAAATAAAGGATATATTTGTCGGACACCCAGGATCCGTACATGACAGTCGAGTGTTTCTGACATCACCATTATTTGGAACACATCAAGAAAAATGTGGAAACCACTTTCTTATTGGAGACAGTGGTTAGTTGCCCTTGTTTACAATATTGCCTAACTCCATTTTAAGATAGAGGTAATTTGACTCGTCGCCAAAGAAATTGTAATTGAGCACTGCATCGGCATACTCAAAAAAAAATTCAGACAACTTTACCATTTGCAATTAAGAAATGTCGAATTATATGTTCACTTCATAAGGGCCTGTGCTGTATTGCACAACCTATCAATAGAAGACAATTTACATGATTTTGAAGTTCCACCAGCACTAGAAGCACAGAATGTAATTGTTGGACAAGCAGGGCGAGATGCAGGAAATGAAAATCAGGATGAACAAACTGGGATAACGAAAAGAAATGAAGTAATGAATAGCTTAGATTTCGTAATTTAGTATGTAATGTGTATTTTTAATAAAAGCTTTTTGAAATAAATTTAAAACAAGTAGCGTTTATTAATTAACTAAATAATGAAAAAATAAATAAACAAAAAAAACAACGAAATTCTCTAACTAAAATAAAAACACTGTACAATTTAAAACTTAAATTATACTAATTTAAATTTGATCTAAATAAAGATAGAAACACATAACAAAATTCTCTTAAAATATGTAATTCAAAACTTAACATCTAAATTCTTTGAACAAAAAAATTAAACCTTTTAAAGGATGTCAAGGTGTGGATTAGATCTTTCTAAATATTATTTTATTAATTCATTTTTTTCCTGTTGAATGTAATTTTTTCTTTTTTTCCGTTAATTTTCTCTCCTCAATTTCCAAAAGTTTGTTGTAAAATTCTTTTCTATCTTTCCGAATTTCAGATAAAATTGTAACTTTAAGCCTTTTATTTTTATTCATATTTGTAATCCTTTGAGGAGCTGTTACATCAGTTGCCTTGCTGCTGATGCTGAGTAGCTCCTTGGTTTTAGGAAATTCTACCAGATTTTCCTTTTCAGGATTATCTCCTGTAGCCACCTGTGTTGTTGGATGAGTAACTGTGTCGAATGACAATAATACAACAGGATGAATGTTTCGTTTTTTACCCAAATTATCTTCCATTTCTTCTGCATACTCAAACCCTCTTCTTCATCTTCCAGTTTTATTGTTGTTGTCCACATATTTCTTGAACATTCTCTCCAGATGTTTCCATCTGCTTTCACAATTCGATCCTGCTATATTTTGATTGGTTTTATGTCTTAGCAATTTCGTCATACATTTTTTTTTAATTTTTAAAGTCCCAACCAAGTCTATATTTTTTATATAGGTCCAAAAAAATAAGAGTCTTGAGAACATAAAGGAAATAGCAGAAAAAATTCAAATAATAAGATGCAAAACAAAAACTCTAACCTTACTTTTGTGCAGAAAGAATTTGGTAGGTTTTGCTGTTCGCGGACATTAAAAATTCCGCATTAATTACATCACGCGCTTGCGCATTTCAAACATATCGGAGGTACTTTATTTGTGTTTGGAATATGCTCTAGATTAGCTCCGCGAAAAAAGCTATTTACTTCAAAGCCAAGTTGTTGCAACAATTGGGTGATACATAGGGAGTGAGGGAACTATTTACTTCGACGAGGTCTTCACTTACAGGTAGGTTCGTCTGATTATGTAATTATGTTCCGGCCTCGTCTTGTAAATAGGATAGGTGTAGACGTTCAAAGCGAATTGTATACTACTGACGCTCTGCAATAGTAAAAGATAGGTTGTATGCAACTACACAAATTGTACACAATGCATGTGTCAGCTATATTTACATTTCCATTGTAACAACTAAAGTTAGGGCTTTTGACAACAGGTAAGACGTATATAGGTTCAAAAATATAAATACCATCTGTTAATGAGCCACCCAAGACGTGACAAAAAAGTTTGGTAGAAAAGTTATCAGATAATATTGTTTAACGAAACATTTTCTAAAAATAGTGGGCTCATGATATTAACATACTTCAACTTAATGTAGACACGAAATTTTAACTCGGTCGGATTGATAGTTTTCAAGAAAGTATGGAAATAATATTAAAAAAATTGGACCAAAAAATTCTTAGATTTTTGAACAAAGTGTATGAAACCTAGTAATAGCATTATTGAGGCATATACCACTACAGTCCATCACATAAATCCAATCAGCGGCCCAAAAAATGTAACATAAAGAAACGTGACCAACCTCCTTAATAAGGGAATCGATCAGAGTCAGGTGCTTTCTTGTTTTTTGAATTGCTTAATGCATTTCTGTATGGTTACTTAGCTCCAGTGATTGAAATGGTGAACTTGCATAACTTGACGGCAACTCTCCTTGAATTAAGGTGTCAGCTACTAAGACGACAGTTTTACTGTGGTTTTTCTAGTTAAGCTAGTATTAGGAAACCGAGGCCGAGAACCTTGTTTAAGTTCGCGCTGGATTCATCACATTTTTTCTTCCATACACTGTAGCATGGCATTTTGTGCTTGTTTGTTAGCTTCATGACATGCGCCGGCTAATCCTTGGAGATCGTATTTTCGGTATAAGCGTCGGAGACGGATTCTCTGCTCTACCTTGGCTCGAACCCTCGGCGACAAAAGTGCACCGTATGATGTATTTCTAGAAGTTACCATCTGGTCTAATGCCTGGACGCGAGTGACTTCGATATTTGCCACTGCTCAGTCACACTCCATGGGATTGCACACACTCGCGGCAGACATAAAAAATTATAGCTTCGCAACCTTGCCTTCAAGTATGTCTCGATGTTGTACATACAAAAGAAAATTGAATATTTGTGTTAGCATTGGCTATCGCAAATTCGGCGGCAGGTATCCGCTTCCCCGCGGACACCTAAAAATTTAAATTCGTTGCATCATTACTAAGGCTAGTCGAACTGAGAAAAAGACTCTTGGACAGACAAGCTCAGTTCGTTAAAAATATCTAAGGCAGTCTGAGTCTAATATCGGCATACTTGCTGACAAAGCAAGTTCATCCTAGAGTTAATTTTAATTTGTTATCACCTACGAAAAAGCTTTTAATGAAACCCGGCCGTCGGACTTTAGAATTTATATGTTTATATGGAGTGGCAATAGTTTTCACAAGAGAGTGTTTAAGTACGGAAATGTAGACACCCTTTTAGCTTGCCAGCATTTATTAGTCTCCGGAGGAACTCAAGAAGAGTATGGCGTGCTTAGACGGCAACGTGTTAACGCTCACAGTTGCCATCTGGACACGTGCTAATCTGGCACTGCTGCCACTTCACGTCCACCAGTATCAAATCTGAAAAACAAGGCTTAGTCGAAATTAGTGCAGTCTATCAAAATTAAATTTGTTCAAAAACTAAATTATTCGAAATTTACGTAGCAGTCACGAATGCAGAATCCTGATAATGGTTGGAATGAACAAGTTTTCCATCCCTTTAACGATGGCCAACTGAAGACGGCGCTGTTTCGTGCTCATCAGCAACTAATCAGTCCGGTATAACTCTCAAGTCTAGCCTTGTAAATAGACAAAACGGGAAGTAAACAAATGGGTATAGTCTATGAGAAGGTTAAAACGGTGTACGCAAACAGGTGAAAAATCTGACGCCAGTCACTTAGCAATGGTTTTCCAAAGCTGATCTTCATCCTCATCCCATACTATATACACAATAGAAAAGCCCGTACATTTTTCAGCCCATAACAACTCTACGTTCTACGCTAAGCACTCAAATGTCGCACGTACCAATATCACGCTGGTTGGAATACTAAGTGCTCACAGACACAGACCAAGCCTGCATATACCATAAATGATCACTGCTGAGATGGACATGTCTACTTTCCGCCTCTATAACCAAGACCAACCCCAAACAGAGCTGTTTCGTGCTTATTAAAAACTCATCAGAGAAGAATAGGTCTGAGGTCTAGGCTTGGAGACAGACAAAATGGGAAGCAAGCACGTGGACATGGCATTTTGAAAAAGTTAAAATACTGTGTGCCACCAACTACTAAGAACAGCAACAAGCATAGAAAATGTAGTCGAAACAGCAGCACCCTACATGTGAAGAGCCTCTAGACTGACTTTTATTTGGGATCAGTAAGACAGAGTATGGACGGTGTAGTCGTAGCAGGAGCACCCCAAACAAATTAGCAGTACTCAAGTCCTTATATGGGCCCTGTGCACAGTGAGGAGGCTATGTCGAGAAAACCTCACACAAGTATCATAACTTTTCTCCCAACAGCTGTCGCAAATCTCGGTGGCTCCATGGAAGAACTCGTCCATGCTTCGAAACCAGATGTACGTTGTGGTAAAGGTCTGTATCTCAAAAGCGCTGAACTGTACGGATTGCTGTGTCATCAAGCTGTGAAAGCCTCCAGATCCCTCGTCACATAGGAAGTCGCTACTAACCGTCTTCTCTCGCTCTTCTTTAGAGATCAGCATGGTACTTTGATTGCCTGCGTGCGTAGTGATGTCATCAGCAAAGCTGTGGCTGTTAGGATTAACCGTATAGGAGAGGAAGTCCTTATATGGAACAGAAACAGTGGCCAAGACATCGGTGTGAGATCGCCCTGGCGAACACCTGGAGATTAATTGAATCAAAGTTTGTATGGGAGAACAGGAGAGTGGTTTTAGATAAGAACTTGTCTCTATAGCTCAGTCGAACAACTAGTGAAAAACTAGTACATCCGCATCAACCATCCCCGCAACTCGGTGCAGTTGTTTTTATGAAAGTTTAATCCTCCCTGGTCATGAATTTAAATATTTCTTGGGTGTAGCGTTTCGCCGGTAGCGTCGACAGCCGAAGCCGCCTTTATTTCGCATAAACGGCTCACCTCTCCTTAATTATTCACCACCTCGTACACGCCGCATCATCAATTCTTCATTCGCCAAAGGATGCCTGACGGAAAGCCATATTTGTATTCTTCGCGCTCCTCTACTACAAACTTGCTCAATATTTTATGATGCCGCATGACAACTGTCTGCGCACCGATCCAAATGCTTGTGGGATTATTTATTGCGTATATTCTGGGGCAATTTAAGATATACCTCATTCATTTTCAAGGGAGGGGAAGTAGTAAGGAGCTGAAATTTTACCAACATTCACCTCTTACGTCTCAGGGCGAAGAAATATTGTAACCGCACAAAAAATCGAAAATGAGATATTACGGTTTTTCGATGTTGTATGACGTACTTCCCGAAAAACCATGTGGCGACAGAGATAGTACCAAAAACTCGAAAAAAACCGCTTCGTTTTCTGGCGTGTTAGGGGCTCCTGATCATTTTTCACAAGTCACAGATTTCCCTGTACATTTGCCTGTAAAGATGATTACAGAGACGTGTTTTCTATTCGCGTACTCCTGCTGTCTAAGCTCACCGCCTGGCGCACCGGTCCAGCTGAAGAATATATCCGTACTGCAGCGCATAGCAAATATACACGGGATGAATGATAACTTGGTGCAGCGGTGGCACGGTGAGTGCTGTCGCGAAGATGTGAGAAGGGACAATGTTTGACTGACTTGATCCGTTTAATTTCTCTGTTGTCGTTTATGAACTGACGACGGCGTTGCGTACGAAGTGCAGATTCAATTTGGATGACGCTTTTTTACGACATTTTTGAAACTGAAGATATTGCTTATTACCAAATATGAATTTTAAGATATCGGGGATTGAATATTGATCATCGAGAGGGAAGGAAGGGGGGAGGCATACCTTCACGATCATAACAAGATACAACGATAACATATGCACCATTTTACTGGAAAGTAGAATAACTAAAATGTATTACAGCTATGTAATTTAAAATTACCGAAAATTGAAACGTTGGCTATGAAATTAAACGTCAGACTTGACAATCTGGTAATAAGCTAAAACAAGCAACTTACGCAACAGATGTAACAAAATTTGCACTGGCAAGTTACGTTCCTCAGAATGATCGCTGTTTTCTTTCAGAAATTTAGTTCTCAATCTCGCAATCCAATAATTGCTACCATTAAGCTGTAATGTAACTCGGTCTCTAGACGCAATTGGCGAAGAATAAGCAAATCCTTCCAATGTTCCGCAAATAAATAAGTTACGGTTATTCAGGTCTGGTGATCGTGAAGGCTAACCTTGTGGGCAAATACCTCCTCGTCCATTTATTTAGATATAAGTGGTTCAATCAGTTTCTAACTATAATAATGAGGCAGTGATCAATCGTGCATAAACCAATGTTTCTCTCTAAGTTGTAACAGCATCTAGTCAAGCTGGTCCAGAAGAGTGGTTTGCAGAGATTATAAATATGTTTATCGATTTCTTTTTATGCTCCAACTAATACAAAGGCCTAAGGCCTAAACACTCATTGGGTACCGTGGGGCTATAGGGGGATACAGGGGAAAGGGGGAACGCCACACGGACTCTGGCGAGGGAACACGTGTGCATGCAACACGCACACATTCTGGCTCCGCCTACGAGATCCGCCGGGTGGTACCTCCACGTTCGACAGTCAGAGACCGTCTACCACCCATCCATAGCCAAGAGAAAAATTTCTCCTGAGACGGGATTCGAACCCGCACAGCGCACGGCGACTGAATAGTCAATTACTGCGGCCAAAAATGTATCATTTACTCTCTTCAGCATTTGAATTTTCGATAATTTCACAACACAGCTACAATACATGCTTCTAGTTATTCCTGTTTCTGTTGAACACTACAAAGTCTTTTGAAAAATCACAACAGTGAAAAAGCTTCAGAACTAAATTCTTCATAAGATGAGGCAACAATTGTATAAGAACGCCAACTTGTTAAGAAGTTCAGTCACATTTTACGAATGGATCATTTCCTTTGGACCCTCAAATTAATGCCGGCCATTGCTCTTTGAACCAGTCAAAACATGTACCCAATTTGGCCTTTATAAGTTCAAGAATAACTGCCACGTAGATCTTTTGTAATTTAAAACTTTTACGGTCTATAAATTCTCGGAGGTGCGATTTTTTGCGTCGTATCACAATATTTTGATTTCTCCTACATTTTCTTGTTCAGAGTTGATTCTTATGGCTCAGCTTGTCTCTGTCTTTGGCCTCACACAGACGAGTCCAATTCGAGATCATCTTAAATTCACTTTGTAATAACGTCGTTTATTGCATCAAATAAGAGATCATGCCTTATTTATCGTAATAAATATTTAGATATTCTGAGCTTTCAAACTCGCAGGATAGAGGATTATGGTATACTTACAGGACTTCTCAAACCTTACCGTCAGAGGTAGTCTTATAATTCGGCCCGCTTGTTTGTATGTGAATAACTGGGTCAAGTTCAAAAGACTTAGATTATTTCTCCCAGTCTAGTAAGCAGTAGAATATCGTCTAATCTCATCTTCGTAGTATAAAGCTGCGAGATAACCTTTCCAAGCAAAAATAGACTCATTTCGCAGTATTGAGCTGGTACGAATGGAAAACTATTCATCTGTTCGTTATAACCTGTTGTCTAGATGCCGCATGAATATATTCCCAAGGACACAGTATACGTGAGGTGGAAAGGAAAAAAAAAAGGAAAAATAAACATCGTTGTGTATACTGTATGTATGTGTGCACATGTCCTCGTATGTATCGATACCGGCATGCAGACGGGGTTGCTTTTATGTGGAAATCATGATCTGTGTCACCTCCAATGCTGAATATATACGGCCAGATAGGATTCCATACACTGTTGCCATATGTTTTGAGAAATCGACCGTGAATCGCACTGCAGGAAGGGCGGCATAAAAGTGACAGATAGACTTATTTGTTCTCTATTTTTAATAATATAAGCGATCTTCATCGAATACGTGCAATATGGTATAGGTATAAGATTGATAATGATGGCTGTTAACTATTAAACTAGAATAACCTTTGCGAATTAAATTCTTAGATAATAATTGTTACATAATGGAAATCCATTGTGAGGCTTTGAGGTGAATATTTGTGAATATTAAACCAAAACCACTTTTGCAGGTGGAGACAAAAGATATCAGCCCTTCCCAGTCAGCATGCCCGTAATACCAAATTCTGCAGCCTGGACGAGTTTCTGCTGCCGATTCAAACCGAGACCTGACATCCACAACATCGTGGTCTGAGTTACTCAGGGGACACAGGACAGCAGTTGTGAAAGCGACAAAATGCGTGATCAGTAAGGGATTCAGCAGACTACTACAGCATGGGGAAAGAAGTAAGGCCTGTCCGCAGTCCTTGGGTGGATGCTTCAACAGCACAATCTGTTGCATTGGTCTTGTTTGAGCCCCACCAGAGCTGTCATTGTAATCGACTAGGGGACCTCTATCTCTGAAGAAGGGTGATTGATGTTCAAGAAACCGATCTTGACTGCGAGGCAGCAAATAAACTTGGAGAGTGGTCTGGAGTTGAGTTGAAGCTACAAACATGTTCTTGACCTCATTCCAAAGAACCGTATTTGGCGCAGGAAGATCAATACCACAACTTCCCCGTCCTTCTGCAGATTGGAGTGCACCTCGTAGATTGAAAAGCTATTAATCGGGGCAGAGTGGAAGATTTTGGTCTTCACCAATAGAAGCATAGAGGAAGGATTGGAAAAGAGCATCTGCGTTGCTGCTAATCCCGCGGATGTTCCTTTACCATCGATGTTGTCCCGTGGGTCCACCCTCCACCCGGACATTTCGAGAGTTCACCTACCAAATTTTTAGTACTCGACGTATTAATCATAATGTTTCGATGAGAAGGGAAGAAATAAACAAAATGCACGCTAGCGGGAGGTACCGCCTCGGTCGACTGGGCCTCGTCTAGCACCTTCTACTGGCTTGTGAATGACGTTGAATAGACATAAAATGGCCCGTTGGTGGACTTGTACCACCACCCGACAGACGGTACTGAGATATTCCTTAACGCATGTACAATTACGTGTACGGAAAGAAGTTGTATACTGAGTGTAACAATTTCCGGAACAAGCATATGCCACGGCTGCGCTTAGCATGGAGGGTTATTGGTTACTATTCAACATATTGAATGTATTCCTTAAAATATTGTCAAATAGCAAATAAAAGGTATAAATATTCTTTTATGTTATGTTGACCACTTACCGTTTCAAAAAAGTAATATCTGATGCTTATTGTTCCTATTATACACAGTATTCGCATTACCACAATGGCAATAACAGCTATTGTATCAAGTAACTTTGTGACGTGCTTTGGATGAAGAAGAGGAAAAAACTAATTCTTATACCAAGACTGCATTCTCCATTATGGCAAAGGTATGTCCTTTTTACATTAAACGCTATAATATTCTTTTTCAAGAAATCTCTGAAAAGTAATATTAGTCATACAATAACACAACCGAGAGATTAACTTGTCAGTGTTTGCAAATTATAGCACTTAATTGACCCTATACTTCGTAGAATTCTATACTATTTTATATTCAATGTCCAGCGGTAGCTTTCATCAACTTCGGCTTTATGGCAGTGGACTTGGTCGTTTGTAAATTTTAAATCGCCACCGCAAGTTCAATCCTCTGTACATCCACTCAAGGTCCTTTGAACTATATTCCCCGATAGTTGATGCACACACACGCTCGATGGATTTCAGCATGTCATCGAGTATTCCATTCATTATTTCACCTGGTTGACGTCTGCCATTTTCTATTTCATCGGTGCTGTTATAAAACAGAAAAGCCGCTATATTGGATAGCGATAGAATTGTCCATGTTAGCAATAATTTGAAGGCTCCATTCGTAGTGACTGATAATTGTCGGAAATGTAAACCAATCCTCGTTTTCCGAAAATGTAATTGGATCGGAACCTGACTCATAGTGTTCCGTGCATATGGACGTCAGCGTGGTAGTATAGTGATGATATTGATTATGTACTGAATATTTGTTAAAAAGGCAAGCATTCTGTAATTATACTTAGGGCCTCAAAGAATCTATCAAGCAGAGCTTTGTATATCAAGTGTGACACACTATTCAATAAAATATTGTATCAGATTTGTATCCATGCTTGGAGTGTAACGCAAGTGCTTATTTTTAATTGGTGCAATATATGAATATTGTCGATAATTTAGTGACCGAACGCAAATGGAAAAAGTTTTTGTAGCTAAACAACGTACTTCTGGATATAATATGAGAATAACAAGGTCATCTTTCACAAAGAAATTTTTCTCCAGTTTGAGTGATAATTTACCAGAAATCAATAATATTTCTATCTATCTATTTCTTCAAAGACGCCTTCTCAGTGATTGAGTTTGAGATCCACATGCCTTTTGGCCACAGTTAAATGGGCGCCAGTGTCTCGAATGTCGCATGCGTCATATTCTCGCATGCGGCACTAAAATTTTATTTCTGTGATATTTGTCATCGTTTGTCACTATGCTGTCACTTTTGTTAAGTTATTTGACTTTAAGGCGGGTGTTGGGAAAAGGTGCTTAATAACGAAGAAGATAGTAAATATGTTCAAGCAACTCATACTCCCGCATTGTCATTTGGCTTTTTGCTGAACCATGAAAAAATCTCGAACCCGTCAAATATTGTCGCATGGTCTTAGCTTCGCAAGATTGTCGGAAACAAAATATCTATTGCGAGATTTATGTAAGAAATCACTTTGAATAACATTTTAGCTGCATGGATGCATTGATCAGTCGAAATTCGAGAACTTCGAATCACCTAGTAGTACGTCTCTCTCTACTAGAATCTTTATTAGCTCGGTAGACCATCAGCTGATGTCAGAAAATAAAAAATTTAAACCGTATATATATATACATATAACCGTATAACTTTAACAAAACTTAAGCAAAGAGGACTCTTTATACTTTTTTTAATTCTCTCTAACTTTCAATGGACTTTGCCATCATCATCAGGAGAGTAGTATGTGAGGATGTTGCTAATTGTTGTTTACGTATAGGATGAGGGAAACGTCCAGTAACAAGGTGAGAGCTGGATAGATTGTACAATGGTCAAAATTATATAAAATATAGTTTTTAATTTTCGGGAAAGTAAAGAAATCGTTAGGACTTAAATCTGGACTATATGGAGGATGGTCCAATAATTCCACGTTTTCTTCCGTTAAATACTGCCTTGTTTTCTGGGCTGTGTGCGAGCTTGCATTGTCTTGGTGGAGGATGATTCTTCTTTCGGGGTTGATTTTTCGAAGCTCGGTGACGACTTTTGGCAAACAAATGGTGGTATATCAATCCGCAGTAACAGTTCTTTGCTCATTAAAAGGAATTGTTGCAATATGACCCGCTTTTGACACAAATGTCGCGACCACCTTTTTCGAAACACTTCGAGAACGGATGACTTTTGTTGGCTTTTCTTAACCTTGGAACACACAAACAGCCGACTGTCGTTTATTTTCTGGTTTATAACAGTTAATCTACGATTCATCACCACTAACAATGCTTTACACATTTTTTAAGTTTCCGGAATTGAAACGGTGAAGCGTTTTTTGACACCAATTAACCCTGGCTGCTTTCTGCTCTTCAGTTAACAAGTGG